AGCCATGGCCTTTCAGTGGATTGATTCACACTCAGGCAAATTACTGCAGTGATTGGCCATTTTTGGCTGTAGAAAAGCTGACCAGGAGTCTCTCCTACTCTCAACAGGTACATTGGGAACTTTTACAAGCTGAAAATTAACCCGTGTGCCATTATAAGAATGTCCATTCCACAGCCTGGGAAGTCCTCAGGTGAGTCTCAAACCCAGAACTTCAGGCATAAAAGCTCATGAACCTTTGTTGGAGTGTAGCATGTTGAGGTTTATAAGGTCATGAGGGGAATAGATAGGGTTGATGGTAGTTGCCTTTTCCCTAGGAGGGGGGATTCCGAGACTCGGGGAAACATTTTTAAGGTGAGAGGAGAGAAATGTAAAAAAGACGAGGGGTACTTTTTTTTACACAGAGGGCAGCTCACGTGTGGAATGAACTGCCTGAGGAAGAGGTGGATGTGGGTACAATTACAACATTTAAAAGACTCTTAGATAAGTACCTGAATAGGAAAGGATTGGACGGAGATGGGCCAGGAGCAGGCGGGTGGGACTGGTTTTGTTTGGGATTATGGTCGGTGTGGACTGGCTAGACCGAAGGGTCTGTTTTCATACTGTACGACTCGATAACTGTGTGTCACAAGAGCTCCTATTCCTGAGTGTATGGAATCCCATACAGTGCAATGGTCTGTAATCTGGCAGCAACAGGCAATGTGTCAACACCATTACAGGAAAAGTCACAGGATAATGCACAGATGCTGTACAGCCAATTAGTTTGATGTAGATAGTGTAGAGAGAGCTTTCCTCTATATCTAACCCTGTGCTGTACCTCTCCAGGGAGTGTTCGATGGGGACAATGTAGAGTGAGATTTACTTTCAGTGGAAAAGAGTAGAGGACGGCTTTACTCCATATCTGACCCTATGCTGTCCCTGTCCTGGGGACAATGTGGAGGCAGATTTACCAGATTTGCTTTCAGTTTACAACAGTAGAGAGAGCTTGACTCCATATCTAACCCCATGCAATACCTGTCCTGGAGGTGTTTGATAGAGACAGTGTAGACAAAACTTCACTTTCCATTTAAAAGAGTTGACGAAGTTTTATTTTGTGCCAAAGTCACACAAGGAAAATACTTGAATTATTCTGACTGAAAGTTATCTGGTGTTGGAAAGGTTGTGGTGGATGATAATTATTTGGGACTGCTTTCTGGCCAACCGTTCTAAGGCACTTGGGTGGCCTTTGGTACTAGTTCGCTCAAAATGTTTGCCAACCTCATAAACAAACAGTGCTGTGTAATGAGCAACTGGGCATTAAATCTAGACTCTCGAGTCAAAAGAATGACAAGGCTTTCTGCCAAACCTCCTGACAAGATTCCTGTAATCAAACAACATCCTGATTATTATTCTTCGATATTTATTATGCGGCAAGGTATGAACTCCAATGGGCTGGAAGTACACAGAAAATGGTCCCACGTTGAGGATCAATGATAAGTAGCTGAAGGACAATGTACATGGTTTGAGTGAGCCCCTCAGGGTAAATGTAGTAAATTCCTTCCCCCTGTCTGACACAGGCAGGGGAAGCTAACATCACCAGTTGTGCGATTATTTGGTGCTAGGTGAGGGAGATGCCTCTTCAAACACCCTGGCCAGGCCACTCTGCACACAAGCTCACTTGCTCTGGATTAGCTCAAGGTTCGACATCTCCACTCCAACTTCCTTCAGAAACACAGCAATGTGAATCATGTCTCTGTAGCCCAGCTCTTCTTAATCTAGTGTAGCTGCTCTGGGGCTACCTTCTTTCGCAACTTGTAAGATAGAGAGAATAGGGGACAACAGACCTCTCATTGCACCAAATGCATGGTGCATTGACCATGCGCTCCTTCCCAATCACCCGATAGGGAGTTCCACTGAACTACACACAACCATCAGGCAGGATCCATCATTCCCTTTCCACACAGGGCTGCGAGGACATTTTGTAGTGACCCGGTCTCACAGACCTGTGCTCCAGCATTCTATCTGTACATAGGTTTCCACAAGGGACAGACAGAGAATAGAATATTCTACAACAACGCAGCCAGGTTAAGACCAGAGGGAGGACAAAGAGTGAGGGGGGGGGGGGGGCGAGCAAAAGACAGAGACAGACAGAGAGGGCGAGTGAAAGAGAGACAGAACGCGAGCAAGAGAGAGACAGAGAAAGAGAGAAAGGCGAGCGAAAGAGAGTGAGTGAGTGAGAGGGTGAGTGAAAGAGAGAGAGAGAGAGACATGCAGGTGAGGCAGTGTTAAAGAGACAGTGAGTGTGAGGGAGAGTGCAAGAGCGCAGGTGCGAGAGGGAGGGGACGAGGGAGGGGGGGAAGAGTGCACGGGTGAGAAAGTGAGTCAACATAAGAGAGGGACAGTATGATTGAGAGAGGAAGAGCGTGAGTGAAAGAGAATGAAAGCATGAATGAAAGGAGGGAGATCACGAGTGAACAGAGGGTGTGCACAAATGAAAGAGGGAGACCGAACGTGAGTGAAAGAGGGAGTGTGTGTGTGAGGGAGAGGGGGAGCGTGAGCGAGAGCAGAAGTGAGAGAGCGCGCAAGACAGTGAGCATGAATGAAACAGTGAGCGCGAATGAGGGATAGATTGTAACTTAGACAGAATGCCAGTGAGGGAGAATGTGATTGGGAGAACAAGAGAAAGGAGAATGCAAGTGAGAGTGCAGGCAAGTGAGAGAGAGAGTGAATGCGAGTGAGAGAGTGAGTGAAAGTGTGAATGTGAGAGAGCATGTGCAGAGAAAGTGTGTCTGTTAGAACATGAGCGTTCATGTTGTTGTGGAATGGGAAAGGAGGTTGTGATCATGTTTGAGAACAAATCAACATGTCCTGTCACAGAAATCCAGGAAGGTTGCTGAATATTACTGAGGAACTTGTATAAACTAAGAGCCTGATAAATAAACATTTTGATCAGGCTAAGTAATAATTGACTTGAATTATAACATTTATAAATTGTTCACTTAAGCAAATAAGTGAATGAGCTGTCTGCAGTTGATAAGGTCCTTCTCCCTCTGTCCCTTGATCTTGGAAGCTGCTGCTTTAGACCATCTGGAGTTGGGATGCGCTAAGTCCTTTACTGCTTCCAGGGAGTCTGGAGTTCTTCCCCATTGCCACTTGCTTTCCAGATTTTGGTGGTGGTGACTTTCCCATCCTTCCTCAGTCGCTGAGCAGGAACTACTGTGGTCCACCTGGGACGTGAGCAACCTCTTGGAATGAGCTGAGGCGAGAGCCTGTTCCTTTCCCCTCGGCTACTTCCTTATTTTCCCCCTTGGGCTGGTTCCTCTGCTTGGCTCAGGTGGAGGTTCATGGCACAGTACGAGAAATTGGCAGCTTGCTACAGTGCTCTCGGTATACCTGGCCATGCCACAGAGCCTGACATGACTGAAAGGAGAGGGGATTCAGAGACCTCACCTGTGCTAATGTTCTCCAGGGACCTGAGATGGGATATGACTGCCTGTAAACAGGGCTCAAGGGCATAAACAACTGAACAGGAAAGTGAGACCTGCATGTTGAAGACTGAGCTAAGACAGAATGCACGTGGCAGTGGTTGTGTAAGGTGTGTCTTTGTTGCATCAACCATTTAAAATTAAATTTATCTTTGTATTTGAAGCATCATTTGCCTGGTAATTCATGTTAAAGTTACAAAAAGCAAAATCTTGTCAGTAATACCTTTATTTAATGAACATCCAGTGAATGTGCTTATTTTGGTTTACATTCCTCACGTTGTGATATTAAAACGGACTAAGGACAGTGGATTTACTTCCACAAAACGACCCAGATGGGTTTCTTATAAATGTCTCAGTGTCATGGTCACCATAGCAGAGACTAGCTATTTAAGATCAAGAGCCATTCAATTAATTGAATTTAAAATTCCTCCAGTTTTGCCATGGCGGGTATTTGAACCCATGTCTCTGAATCATTACTCCAGGTTTCTACATTAATAGGTGGTTACGTAGCCACTACACTCGCAGGTCCCTTAACCATCAGTTGCCATTAGTGGATCTAGTTCTCAGTTCAGCACAACACTTTTAATATCGATAGCCCAGTGGCTCTCAGACTCATGATACTCTTCAAACATAACTTTGCTTTAAAATTCTTTCCCGGGCTTTTGATTGTTGGTAAGGCCGGCCATTCCTAAATGCGCTTGAAATGAGTGGCCACTTCAGAGAGTAATTAAAACTCTATCCCATTACTGTGGATCTGGAGTCAGATCCAAAGCACACTGTTGTTATGGTTACCATCACTAATGACTAGCTTTATATTTCAGATTTATGAATTGAATTTAAATTCTACCCGTTGCCATGGTGAATCCATGTCCCCAGAATATTAAACAAAATGCTGGTGATCACAGCAGGTAAGGCAGCATCCATGGAGAGAGAGCAAGCTAATGTTTCAGGTCTAGATGACTCTTCCACAGAGCTCTGACGAAGAGTCATCTAGACCCGAAACATTAGCTGGCTCTCTCTCCATAGATGCTGCCTGACCCGCTGTGATCACCAGCATTTGTTGTTTTCAGTTCAAATTCCAGTATCTGCAGTAATTTGCTCCCCAGAATATTAGCCTGTGGCTCTAGAATACTAGCCCGGTGGCATCGCCACTTCAACAGGAGTCATGTGTTACTCTTGAAGATGGCAAATACTAGGATTTCATTTGAGGCACAAAAACTACTGGTTCCTGGCTGAGCCACCCTCTTGTTCTGGTAAATCCAGCTACCATTCCAACCCATGAACACTACCACGTCTGTTGAAATAACAAATACATTCTAGGTGAAACAGCAAGCGATCTCTTGGCTGTGCTTGCATACTAACATACCAGGACTGACAGTGTCCAAGATAGCACCAACCACTATGTTATTCAGCAAGGTAGCCTGTAAAATACTTCCCTGGAAGACAAAAAAAAAATCAGGAATCAAACTAACAGGCTTTGCCGTGTGTATATTTTCCAAAATAACCTTTGAAAACATGAAAAAATGACAATTGCAAAGAGATAATTAATGTTTATTTAATCACAAATTTCAGATAATAGCCCAAAGGAAACCAACAATTTTGTTACGGGGGCTATTTTTACCCGCAAAGGAAATAGTTAGATGTGGTTAAACAGTGAACAAAACTCAAATCAGGTCAGGTCCATTTATATATTTACGCAGTTTCGTTTTGAATTTACTCTAGATTTGTTTCTAGGATTAGTTGAGCTCTGGTTGCTAGGATCGATTTCCAGATTATCCCAAGGGTTGTTTGTAGATATCACTGTTGAGAATTGCTTCTCCTCAGGTTTGACTTCCATTTCAAGATGCCCCCATTTTGTCTCCAGAACTGGCTGAGAATTTAGGCCCTCCATTCTCCTGCAATTTGTTGAAATGAAGAGCCCTAAATCCCAAGCTAGAAACATTGCTGTTGTCAGACAAAATGAACCACAGAATCTCAGAGTCACGGATAAACTTACGAAGAAAACACCCAAGTTAACACAAAGCTTCTGTAAATACGAGCAGCTGTCCTGTAAACAGGATTAAAGAAACATTTCTCTTACACATCTACGTACAACATGTTTATTTAAATATTAAAATTGAAAGGACAAGACTCTTTGTAAACAGAATTGATAATAATCATTCAGATGTACCATTCTTTAAAATCTGAGGGCATGATTAGTATCCAAAGGGGAAGAGTCAAATATATTAACCATAAACATATAATTTACCATAAACATAACCAAGGCAAGTGATTTGTTGTGGCCAGAAAACAGGGCTGACACTGGCCAGTTGTGGCAGATGGCAGATATTGACTGGTAGCAGTTGATTGCTATGCTAGTCTATGCCATCATTGCTGTTTGCTTAATCCAAACTGGCATCTTTATTTGCACCGTTTTAAGTAGGGTGCCACTATGGGTTGCAAGTTGCCAGGGTGTTGTTTCCTGACAGATCACCAGCCTTGCAGTTAAATGGATCCTCATGAAAGGAGGATTACAATGATCGCAGTACACTGACATTTCTCACAACTCTGTGGGTTCTGCAGTATGTTCGCCCCACTCCAAGAGAGTATGGGGGCGCTGGTGGCAGGGGACACACACAGGTTGTGACACACATCTACATCTCAGTAAGTGAATGGGATAATCTTGTCAATGACGAGACAATGAATTTTGCCAATTCATTTGGAATGTTCATCAGAAAGGAAAGAACTTAAAGGAAGATACAGCGGCTCAGTGGTTAGCACTGTTGCCTCACAGCACCAGGGACATGGGTTCAATTCTCCATTCTCCCTGTGCCTGCGTGGGTTTCCTCTGGGTGCTCCAGTTTCCTCCCACAGTCCAAAGCTGTGCAGGCTAGGTGGATTTGCCATGCTAAATTGCTGATAGTGTTCAGGGATGTGTAGATTAGGTGGGTTAAAGGGGGACGGGTCTGGGTGGGATGCTCTGAGGGTTGGTGTGGACTTGTTGGGCCAATGGGCCTGTTTCCACACTGTAGGGATTCTATGAAAATAAGCATCCGTGTCTGCTTTTATCCATCTGTTGTTTGCTGTTATCAGTGAGTGTCATGGTGAATGAACGACAAATGCAGTTGCCTCTGTCACCCACTTTACTGAAGCAATGTGCTGAAAACCCACAAAGGCTTGAGATTTCCTCACCTCCACTTACCCAACACTACAGACTATAACTAGGGTCTCGTTCCAATGGGCACCGGTCATTCACAGCCAGCCCAACTTGGTCCTTGTTCAATACTCAGGTACGCATTACTCAGTAGAAATCAGCAGTGAACTGGGAGAACCCAACCCCTCCCTCAGTTACATGAGCTGGATCCAAGGACTTCCGAGTTGGTATGGTTCAGTACCAAGGCAAGGGGTATACTTACCCATGAATGGACATACACAGAAGGTAGATTACTGTTGCAATAGTTTGAACTTGGGCAGTGCTATCCGCAGCTAGCAGTATTGAAAGCAGTATTGCATTCTGCAAATAAAAATCACTGTCTAAGTTACTCTGAACTCAGATATCAGTTTCTTGACATAGATGTTCTGTCTGGAGATTGGAAATCTGGGCATTGGCTGACCGAAATGCACCGTCTCTATGTGGTCAGGCAACACCCAAATTTTCGCTGGGCATTTCCTGTGCTCAGGAGGACACTTCACCCTGCCCAAATGAAAAGACAAAACCAAGAGTCTGATTACCAAATCAGGCCAAACTGTCAGAGAATCATCTCACTTGAGGTAAACAAAAAGATGAGCATTCCCCTTGCTGATCTCCTTGACATCACCCCACACAGCTTTATAAAACCGTCGCCCAGCAGATTTCAAACGTGTCGTTTTTGACACAGTGCTATGGTGTGGGGCGTCTGTCCTCGGAACAAAGATTCCTGCAGAACTGGTGCCATTTGAAGAAGAAACAACTCGGGATGACCTCCCAGTGGTTGGGAAACCGGTTCGAAATTCCCATTTGCAAACTTGAGCTGAGGGGTTTTGCTGATCAAACTCTTCAAGCACAAAGAGGGGCAGGGCAAGATAGTGGTGGATCCAAGTGGTCCAAAGGAGTGACATCCAGGGAGGGGAATCATTGTCCAATTGTATTTTATCTGTAGGTGCTGACAGCTGTGGGCACATATACAGCTGGGCTGGGATACCATTGCTTAGATAGAAGAGGTTGTGGGAGCTGATGAGAGATATCTCAGAGGCCCAGCTCAGCCACAAGAAATGCTCTGACAACATACTGCAGACAGCCTTTTATTTCTTTACCCGTACATTGTAATAAACAGCATCCAGTCAAACCCAGCAATCACCCTCCAACTCCCTCAACTCCGAGCAGAACTGACACAGCCGCATGGCCGAGTCACTGATCAGGACTGGATTCCGGAAAATCAGAATAAGATAACACAAGTTAGTCAGAGAAGGTCAAAGTCGAAGAGAACACACTGCTTCGCACAATGTACTTGGGAAACTCAGCATCATTATACAGAACAAGATACTCATTTTTGAATGATGAAAGCTAATTCTAGCACAGGTTATCAATCATTCTGTGCACATATAATGTGTTAATGGCCTTAATCATCCAAATGCCTCAGAAAAGGGTCCAATAAAATTGGAAGCTAAGTTTAATAAATGCACATGAAACATGTTGCAAATTATGAGAAGTAACGTGTTTAAGGGAATTTGTACAATATCACACTCAAGGTGTGAAAAGCACCTAGTTGTACTGTCGCATTTCTCTTCCAAATCTGAATGTGTTGGTCATTGCATCACAGTGGGATCAGCAGTGACCTGCCACTGTATAACTGGGGCCTACAGATCTGGAAGCACGGAGCTCTGCAGGTGAAGTAATGATAGTTACAGGTCTGTCCATGGATTTGTAATAAAGGAGTATCATACTCAACATTAAAATTTTCAGAGTACAACTTTTCAGTTAATATATTGAATTAAACCACTGATGTGTTTCCTCTAATAATTCTGATGTCCTTGTGCTGGACAAATAGAGCAACCATAAACAATCCATTATATGTAAGCAGCATACTCATTTAAAATCAAATTCAAATACATTATCATAGATATAAAAGTTAATCCTAATTTGTTTCCCTTCCCTTCTGAGAAAGGGTCACTGAAGGAAGAGGAGGCGTAAGGTTGCAACTAAATGTAGTGAGTTCTATTTATCTTTTAAAAAGTGAATGGTGTCATTATTCAGCATTTAAACACATATTTAGAAAACTGAGAGGGGGTTGTGGGAGACTTTAAGGGCTGGAGATTTCAGGATCTGAGGTGAGGTGAGGTGGGGTGGGGTGGGGTGGGGTGGGGTGGGGTGGAGGAGGGGGGGGTGGGGGCACGGGGGGGCACTGGCTGCTTTGACCAATAGGCCATTAATCCATGTTACAGCCAAACAGGAGCCAGATGGGGAAAGGGATCGAATCTTGTTGCATTTATACACATTGTACAAGACGGTGGTGGTCAATTTTATTTATTTCATTGGAGGATGTTAAATAGGTTTAAATATTTTTCCGTCTTGGGAATGATCAACTGTTAAGTGGATCTGAAAACTGGAGAGGGCTGACCTCAAAGAATGACAGCAACAATTGGTCTATAAAAGTACAAAGAATCAACCTTATTTTCTGAATCTTTCTGATCAAACAGCAAATGTTGATCATGCTTGAAGGAGCTGTTGATGCTGTGGCTCCTTTCACAGGTCATGCTAGGGAGAAAGCGTTTCCCTACTTCCCAGTGTAAAGAGATCATGCCATTTTAAAATTGAACAAGGATGAATATAGTGAAACCACTATTTGCAATCAGAATAGAGCTGTTTGGGCAATTCCTTTGGCAATCAAACATCCCTGAAGTTCCTATTACACGCATAAACAATCTGTGTTGTACAACTCTCCTCCACACTGCATTCTGTCGGAGAAACAATCTTCCTATATTCAAGAGAGTCTGTTTGCTGTCGCTCATTGGTATACAGACTCTGCTCCAGTTCTGTTCACAAGTTCAGACTGTTTGCTGTAGTTCGAGTAAATTAGAACAAGTCTGGCTCTATTCTCAGGAACAAAAACAAAGTTGCTGGAAAAGCTCAGCAGGTCTGGTAGCATCTGTGAAGGGAAAAAACAAGAGTTAATGTTTCAGGTCCAGTGACCCTTCGTCAGAACAACCCTTCCGAGGAAGGGTCACCGGACCCGAAATGTTCGCTCTGTTTTTTCCATCAGAGATGCTGCCAGACCTGCTGAGCTTTTCCAGCAATTTTGTTTTTATTCCTGATTTACAGCATGCACAGTTCTTTCGGTTTTTATTTGCTCTATTCTCAAGCTTACTGGCTGACAAAATATCAATATTTGCTCCTTTTACAAAAGGAATTTTGAATACAGACAGAAAACAAGGTTTTCAGAGTTGTGCCTTTCTATTCCACTAACTCTGACCTTCTGAGGATTCCATTGATATAAACAGGCAGTAGCGACAGGTCAAAGGAGGGACAGTGAAAAATGAGAGGCCAGTGAAACCTAGAGTAAAATCACAAAGCCCAGAGATCAGCCACAGGGCTGTCATGGTTTATCGCAGTGCAAAATTTTCAATCCACAACATCTCCCCTATCCCTCACCTGATAGTTTAAAACAAGCGTGACATCTAAATTGCTTTCAGAAATCTTATGAACAAACAGAATGTAACGAACAGAATGTGACAACCATCAAGTGTGACAAACAGGTCAGCAATGTTCAGTTGGGAGCTTTAATAGTGAGGCAGATGGATAGCTCAGCACTCAGGAAAGTTACTCTGTCTTTACTTCACTGCTTTCTCAAGTGAACTGAGCTGACTTTCAGGATTAACCGATACAGTCATTCAAATTATGGTACAACTGTGCCTCACAAGTCACATTGAAATGTTCCAAAGTAACAATTAGTGCACCTGATTTTATAGCCATTTTTACCTTCATCAATTATAAATGTTATGGTTTATTGCAATTCAATGACCAACCTTCAATCAAGATCAGCCATGACCAGAGAATTCCTTCTACTTCTGTTTAATAAGATGCGTCTCATTTAAATTCTATTGACTAATGTTTGCCTTGCCACTTCCTCTGTAAATGCACCAGTGCTCACCAGGGTTTGGGATGTTCAGTGTTGCTCATTACCAGCATCACCACCAGTGACAAACAAAACCAGGTCAGGCATCTCACTGTTAGATGCAGATAAAGCTCACTATACTCATCATGACAAAGTGCGGCAGCTTCAATTTGAGTCGTCCTTACTGAAGCAGTGAGATATCTTCCCAGTGTCCACACCAGTCACTGCAACTTTGTGTCCATAAGAACACCAGTCGACAAGAGATCAGTATAAATCTGTTCCTGTTGACAATGCTACAGACTGTGCATATTAAGTGCCGGATGGTAGTGCAATTAAAAGGAGGAACAAACAGCCTACTCACACTGACCAAGTTCACCTAACAATATTGCAAATTCTGGCTGCTGGAGAAATTTCCAAATCTGTGCTGACAGAGATATTTTCTGCTCCTGTGAAAGGAAGATGGATTTAAGCAGAGATCAGAATTTGATCACCACTGCAGGGGAGCAGAGGATCTAGCTGTGAAATGTCATGCATGGGGTGGGTACACAAGCAAAAATTAAAATACTCTCTGGACTGGAGAACTATCATATGTGGTTTGCCAACTGGGTATCAGCAGTGATAGTGCAAAGACTTTACCACTTTGGGTCATTGAAGGGGAACAGCAGAGAACAGCGAACAGTGCAAAGATTTTACCATGTTGGAGCATTACAAAACAGTGGTCAGTGCAAAGAGGGAGGGGCATTGGGGAACAGTGATCACTACTCCACTTTGAGGTTCTCACAGACCTATAAATTCTACACAATTAACACAGGAATATTGGCCAGCTCACGTACTGTGAGCACTAGTAGTGGCAAAGAACTTTGCATTACAAAGGCAGTAGGGCAGCCCAACAAAAAGGGCTTCACGGTTCAGTCAGTCTTACAGCTGGTAGTCCGACAGTCGAGCATTGTCCTTTGACTAGATGCCCATCATACACAATAAGTGGTCTCTGTGTCACGGGGGGGTTTCCTGTCCAGTTGATCATTGCGGCCTGCTCGCTGGTGTCGGATTTCCAGGTGCTTGTTCTGTACCTTCTCAAAGTGCTGCAGCAGTTCGCTATAGTTGATTTCCAAAGGGACTTGCCTGTTGGGGGCTGTGGGCTTCTCACTGGGCCTGGAAATCAAAATAATTTCAGTCAAATAGGAGAAGATCAAATGGACGTTACTGCTAATTCCGGAACACACGACCCAATCAGAGCATCTCCATCATATGGACTGCAGGATATATCAGCACCTTATGGCTAGCAAGGGTTGAACAATAACTGCTGATCTTGTCAGTGACACTCATGTCCTCAGTGAATTAAAAGTAAACAATTTTCTGGCAAAAGTGGGGGTTACAGGGAAAGGCTTGGACACAGCGAGATGTAGATAGCTTAAAGTTTAGTCCAGTTCAGGCAACTGCAACAAGCAACTCCGATGGTGCGAAGAACCTAGGTATCTTAACTCAAAAGGAATTAGAGAACGTAATTCAGACAGGATTAACTGGGAGCTACAGTAAACTAAAAGGGGGATGCAGGGATATGACTTGTAGCTAACTTCTGCTGCACCAACTCTTGAGATACTAGTACAGAGTCAAAGAGGACATGGACATGAAACGTACCTCTTGGCGAAATGTGTCTGTGCTAGCTTTTCAAGTTGGAACTACAAATATTATTTCCCTATGTTGTATTTTTGTGAACTTCTTTTCACCTAACCAATTCCTTTTCTAATATGATCTGTGACACACTACCTATGTGTGGAAAAACTTTTCATTACTAATACACCTCTGTCTGAAAGAAAATTGTGTTTGATTTCCTCTTTTGTTCTTCCAGTGATTAACATCAGTCTTTGCCCTCTTGACACACATTGTGATCCCAGCTGATGGTAAGGCAGGGCAAGTCAGATTGGTGCCTTGCAGGATCATAAGTTTTATTTTATCTTTTATTACACAAAAGAGAAATAGATAATATTACACAATACAGTAGTGACTGGACAAAACTCATTCCAAATATCAAAAAGAAAGATTCCTTTTGCTCTAGCAATACACTTAAAGACACTCAAACTTCAGTGATGGGTCACTCTTATCTCCATGCATTGCTAGCTTTGGACAAATTTCTTTGCATTCACTCAATGTTATTTTCTTCAATTAATGACCCTACCTGAGACCTTTAAACGTGTTGTTAACTCAACTCACTATTACTCCTGAACATGGCGTCTTTAAATCACAACTTCAACAGCCTTAGAGAGGATGTCTTTCTCTCTGCTTCTAGAGTTTTATTTTAAGCAACTCAGGAATTCACCCCACCCCTACATTGACAGTTTTCAAACCTGCTATTAACAGCATCTTTGTGCTATGGAACTCTTCTCTCAATGAACAGGTTTCTCTCTATCTCCAGGTTTCAATGCTCAAGTTAAACAACACCTCAGCAATTATTTCTCGGAGGACTTGTTAAAAAGGCCACATATTTTTATTTTTCTGTATTTTTGAATGTGGACTGAAATGGGAAGTGGACTGTTTTAAAAACTAAGGATTGTGGAAGGGATAACTTCTTAGAAGTTACCAAAACTCATCGTAAGCAGGGTTTACACCACTCTTTATTCAACCAGTGGGGGGGATTGAGGGCACATGGCTGGCACTAGGGGTGTGTATAAAGTAGCTGATTGGTTTGTCGAGTTGTGACCACCTGTGGATGACAAAGGACATCTTCCTGCCAACAGCTAGGTGATTGGCTCTTGGTAGCTGAGCAGCTTGTAGTTGTGAATAATATGTCCAGAAGCCTTTGGACCTCTGGGAGGGGACATGTTGAGTTCCTCTGCAGTAGAAAATGACTGAAGAAAGCAAATTTATTTACCTTGATAGCTGTTGCTTTTCATATAAGTCAGAGGCTCTATCAATTTGTGAACTAGTCACCCTGTGTCTCATGTAAGAAGTGAAAAGTACCTAGAGGACAGAGATTGAAGAACAACAAATCCTGGCTAGTTAAAAGATCATTTCAGTTCTTGTTAAGTACAGAAATCTGATCTCTACCTTCTGTCAACCTGGGTCTAAAAGAACAGGTAAATTGGGGATCTTAGTTACTGACAAAACAACTGCAGATGCAGGAATCCAAACTAGACAAACAGGAGGCTGGAAGAACACAGCAAGCCAGGCAGCATCTGGAGGAAAGGAGAAGTCAACATTTCGGGTATTACCCTTCTTCAGGGCTGGAGAAGGGTAAAACCCAAAACATTGACTTCTCCTTTCCTCTCGCTGCTGCCTGGCTTACTGTGTCCTTCCAGCCTCCTGTTTATCTAAATTGGGGATCTTTCCTATCTTGCTAAAATCTATAACTTTTGTGATGATTCCGGAAATAGTGGCGCCTGATTTCCAGTGCACTACCCCAGCGAGACTGACTAATTTTTTTGCTCAAGTTACATAATTTGCTGGAAATGCCGTCATGCACCCACTGTTCAAACTGACTTTTTGACCTTTTAAAACTACAAAGCAGACCTTCACCCGACTGGAAACGAAAATGCACTTTGGAATCAACTTTTCCAAACAACAATAACATGTTATGATCTTCACCACAATGCCAACTCAGCAATCAGAAGCTGAAGTCTTTCATTGTTTAGTCATTTAAAACATTTTGGAGTTTTGGAAGTCTCTTGAATTCCTTCCTAATTTCCTCTGCGCTACAGGAAAAAAGAAATCACAAAGTTCTGAAGGTGCTATCTTCATAATCACCACCTTATATCAGTGGACATGTAATAGCAACCAGCAAAAGTTGTGCTCTAGGTCAGTAGGACCCAAAAAAAAAGCAAACTAAACACTAGGGTTTATTTCTAGAGAAATACAATTGAAAAGTAGGGATGTTATGTTGAATCTGTATTGAATGTTGGACAGACCACATTAGACAGCATAGTGTGGACTTCTACTGGTCATACTATACAGAGACACAGCAGAGGGTGGAGATCATTAACAAGGATGTTTCCAGAAATGCATGGGCATTGATACCAAGAAAGCATTAACACACTGGCTGTCTTTTCGTTTGAAAATATAAGCTGAGGGGATGACTTATTGGGGTGTATAAGATAATGAAAGGTCTTGATAGAATGGATACAGCAAAAATATTTCTTCTTGTGGGGAAGAGCATGATGACATGCCTAAATGTAAGATAGTCACTAAGAAATCAAATTGGGAATTCAGAAGAAGCCTCTTCACTCAAAGAGTGGTGAGAATGTGGAACTTGCTGCCGTAAGCAGTGGTTGAAGTAATAACATGTAGGTGCATTTTAGAGAAAGCAAGATGAGGGTTTGATGGAGGAGCAAAGAGAGGGTTACAATGGTAGATTTAGATTAGAAACGATGACAGGTGGTTTGAGTGGAGTCGACTGGCATGGACTGGATGGCCTGCTTTTTTGCCACACACCTTATGCAACCCTGGGATTCTTGGGGTAAACCAGTATTTACTTCTCTCCTGGCTGAGAAACAACCATCCAGCACTATGTTATACTTGGTTTCTTAGCCATTTCTTTTATCTCTGTGCTGCCACAGACCCTTCAATCCCATGGCTGTGAAACTATTCTGTTGTACAACACTTCAGCAAATGCCTTTTTAAATTCTAAATTCAAAATACCCTCATCAACACTTTGTTACTTCAACCAAGTTAGTCAAAGCCAATTTACTTTTAGCAATCCCTTGCTGACTTCCATTGTTAGCTCACACTTTTCTAAATGTTGATTAAGTTTGTCATTGTCTCTGCAGTTTCCTCGTGACCAACGTTAAATCGACAAGCCTGTGGTTGCTGGGAATATCCAACTGCCCTTTTCTGAACATGAGTGTTTCTGTAAATGAGAGTTGTTTGGATAGTTGAACAGGGCCGGCGCAGATGGGCAGGCTGTGAGGAGGGCATCTAAGACTCAGTGCAGTTAATGTCACACAGTGCAATGAAGAATGGGATCGCAGGCAGGAGCATGCGTTATACAACTGGAAGTAACTGTCACTTCCCTATGAATATAAAACGTTAAATGGTACAAGCAGAGGGACAAATCCAGAGTCACGGGTCAGGAACACCCAGTCAAATTAGTGGCAAGCAAATATAAGAGAAATTATTTCAACAAACTTCTTCTCTTTGGAATATCTGGTCATCTGGGGGTGTGGATACAGAAGTATTCAGCATCTAACAGACAGACATGGTGGGAATGTTGCAGCACATCAGTGGGCAATAGTTGCCTGACATATGTGACACATATTTACTGCAGAAAAAAAGTCTCAAAATATGTAACTACAGCGATATCAATTAAAATATTTCTGAAACTGGGGCACAGGAGATAGCAGGATAAATGCCCAGAAGCTGAGTTAGAGAGATAGGCTTCAAGAAGTTTCACAAAAAGGAGGAAAGACAGGCAGAAAGAGTTCAGGAGCGCCTTCAATGGTGAAGCGATGAAAACTGGGGCCGTGCAAGAGTCTGTATTGATATTTCCCAGGCTCAAAGAGTCAGAGGTTAGACATGGAGGGATGAGCCTACAGAGGGATCAGAAAACAAGGGAGTGTGTTCTCCCTCATTCTCAACTTGTGGTGCTGCTACAGCAATAGTGGAATTAAACGTGTAATTTCACACTGCACTTGGAAATGGGATCGGACACAGACTAAAATAATTGATTGGCTCCTGTAAATGGCAATCAAATACAGACAGGGCCAAGCCTAACGTTCTGTATGAGTAGAAGAAAATCACTTACATTTCTATCGGGCCTTTTGCAATATCAGAATTGCCCAAGGTGCTTGACAGACGATTTAGTATGTTTGAAGTGCTGTCACTGCTGACAGGGAATGTGGCAGCCATTTTGCCCAGAGGGAGTTCTCACAAATAGATATGTGATAATAATTGGCCAATCTGTTTTTTGAGATCTTTATAGCAGGATAGATATTGGTCAGGACCGTGGTATCGTTCACATCCACCCGAGAGGACAGACAGATCCTTGGTTTAGTGTCTCATCTGAACATCTGACAGTGCAGCACTCCCTCACGACTGTACTGAAGCGTCAGCCTAAATTTCATGGGCTTGCCTCAGCAATGAAAAAGACACCCGCTGAGCCACGCTGGACAGGACCACCTCACAAAAGGAGGAAGACAAGCTCAGATTCTGTTTGTTAGCAG